CTGTCTCCAGCAAATTCTTTTTCTCATCAGAAAAAAGAAATCCAAAACAAAGTGCAAGATCCAGGTTTTTATGGCATTTGCATCCTAACTCGAGCTGTTGTCGTTGTGCTGTGCTCTGCATGGGAAGGAGGAGCTGGGTCGAGGCCTGCCAGTAGGCCCTGAGCACTAAACCTCTCTGTCCAGAGTAGGATATGTAAAACTACATTTCCCCAGGACCGCTGCCAAATGACTAATCTTGGACACTTTCAGGCATTCCAGTATGTCTGGTTAGTGGTTACTCTAGCTATCCTATCATGTTTTTGGGAACCAAATGTTTTGCACACTAAAGCAAGGTGCATATTGCACAAAGGGTGCCTATAATGGGTTTAGATAGAGTTAGTGCACAGCACGCAGCGGCTTTACATCAGAGATAACCATATGAAGAGGGAGCATTTGAAGCCAGAGACGTAGTGGAAATAGACCCTGTTCTGCAGAGGATTTTGTTGTTGTTTTTTTTTGTTTGTTTTTTTGTTTTGTTTTGCAGGAGTCATGAGCACATGAGCAGGGTAGGAAGGATTTTTTTTTCTTTTAAACAATGAGTGAATGAATTAGATCTTTAACATCTATTTTAATTTTCATATAAGTGGCAACTCTGTTATGCCCAGAGGTGAGCTAACGAGACAGTGTTCTGCAGCAAGCTGCTGCTCAGACACGTATCAAACTACTTCCAGTAAAAAAGCTCACATTTTCTGGAAAGGCAGCCCAAGCTCAAACTCTTCTGTTTCATAAACTTGCTTGCTCCAATTTCCTAAAGCACTCCCTAAAACTGCACTACAGTGATTCCTTCATCACATGGCTCACAAAGCTGCCTTGGTAACAGAGCAGCACTTTCCAGGCATACTCAAATAGGCATTTGAGTGTCATCTCGCAGGACTTTCTCTTTTGCTTAAAGTGCAACTAGAATTTTTTTTTAAAATACAGTAACACACCTGGCCTGTGGTTATCTACTATGTCAATCTTGAACAGTTCCCTGTATGACCCCCAGTGTGTCTGCCAGAGCATGTTCCTAGTTCAGGCTAACGCTCTGTAGCGTCTTGCTGTTCTGGTTACTTCAACAAGAAATGACTGCGGTTTCCATGGGTGAACTGCAAGGGCTTTACAAGAGATGTCCTGTCCAGTATTGGTCACGCTCTAGTATGGCTACCTTTTAATTGTGATTTTGGACTTAGTTTTGTTCTTATGCTATGGGATGATGGGCCAAAGGTGGCGCTATGCAGGCTGTGTTGGTGTGAGATGAACGACTGTCTCCCTCTTTTTCACCTAAACTCTTCTAACTCCTTTCTCCCCTTATATGGAAGCCCTGTGCCTTGCATCTCGTGCTTGGTGCCAGTGCCCAGCTGGACCAGGTCACAAGCTCGCTTGTCTGACCGCGGGCAAGGACACCGGGAGGATGAGCCCGTTACGTGAGGAGGGAGGCATGTGCTTTGGAAGCCTGGTACCCAGCCCCTGCTGTAACATAGTGTCATCTTGCCTTTATAGGCAGCACTAAATCTTGCTATAAATGTGTTAAATTTTATGCTTAGATGGACCTATTGTCTGAGAATTATTTAGTCAGTAACCTGTCACACCAGTGCAAGGAGCTAGTGAGGCCCAGTTTCGCACTTGGGCAATTTTTTTACTCGGGAATGCACTTTAAAGGAGGATTCAGTAGCTGCTTGCAGTGGGAAGAAGCGGGATGGGTTTGTGGCTGTGGATGCCAACCGCAGGCTCCCTGGCAGCCAGTGGAGTTGGGGTATTGACCTGTGCTGGGAATGTGCTGGGCCGCACGGCGAGTGTCGCGGCCCGCGGGCCTCTGAGCTGTGCTGACCCCCGGCAAGGAGGGAAAAGCTTCAGACAGCTCTGGCTCTTCTCTTTGGCCCCAGGAGGCCCTTGAAGTGCAGAACAAAATACATTCCCTCAACCCTAGCAATTTTCTCCACAGTGGATCAGCAGGCAGCAGACCTATGGTCTGTGGCTTGCCATGGCATTTGCAAGTGTCCCAAAATGCCTGGGTTTGGATGACAGCGTCCCAAAGGCATGCCTTTGTGTTTCCATGCCCACAAACAACATTTGAAAGACATCAAAGAGAGGGACAAAATTAGCCCTGAGGACTTCAGTGAAGCTGCTCCTGATCCTGGAGCTCCTTGCCTGGATCCCAGCACCTGCGCTCTCCTTTGTGCCCACTGCTCAGCTTCCCACCATAAATACTACTCTTCAGGAATCAGGCTGTTATCCAGGGGACATCACCAATTTCAAGCTCAAACAAAAAATCTGAGGGTCATTAAAACCGGCAGAGTTAAGAAAATACACAAAGATGAGAACAGGTGCCTGGTATGGCTGTGGAGAGGTTCACAGCAGGTTTCTGGGCTTCCTCACAAGTGTCATTATTGCCCCTACACAAGTCAGATACTGAGGAAACTGCAGCACTCAACCCCTGGGTGCAGCAGCTCCTTTAAGCACGCTGGTTTCCATCTACAGCCAAACTGGGAGACATTCCTTTTTAGGGTCAAAACTACTACACTAAATGCCACTTTGTTTAATTTATTACTGTTAGTATTTTCTTGATATATTTAGTGTATGAGAAGTGCAATTTTAAGTAACTGTGAGAAGGTTCAGGTGTTTGAAGGACTTTTGGTGATTGTTAGATGGTTCAAGCTTCTTGTTGCCTCTAAGTAGCTCTTTCTTTGGTGCTCACTGTGATGATCTAGCTCAAGGAGAGTCAGAGCTGTGCTATGGAATTGTAGATTATTTTAAAGTACTTCAAAAAGTGAAGAATTTTATTAATTAACTATTTCAAACATGATTACGTGTAAACTACTGAAATTTCAAAAGATAGATACTGTGGCAATGCTTCTCAGCTATGACAAATGCTACCTAGGACGAGTCACTCAATTTATATTTTACCATCCTTAAGGAGTGTACAGTGGTGAATAAACCAATATTTATGATGTGTTCCAGTATGCCTATGATAGGGCCACATGTAAACTTTAGATAAATGAGAGTTTATTTTTATTTGAGGAAGAGAGATAAGGAGGTAATATAGCAGCTCTCCTAGAAGAAATGCAAGGTCTCTATAATAATCTGTTCTGAAGCTCCTTTTTTTCCAACTGAAGTACTTAATAAGGCTTGGATGTAGTATGTTTTGATGTGCATAATTTAGTTGAGCACTTTAAATTCTTTTAGTTATATGGCTCCCATCTGGCTGTTTTTTGTTTTACCAATTTTTTTCCACTGCTCAGCTCTGTAATTGTTCCTTTTAGCCACAGTCACTTAAGGTCAGGCTGTACCTTGCTAGAGAGCTGAGCTGCAAACAAGGCTGGCTAAATCACATGTCTCGAGCCTGCTCCGGTTATTAATCCTCCCAATTCTGGGCCTGTGTTTGGCAGAGCAGCAAAAATAAACTTTTTATCTCAGAAGCTGACATTCTCCTCAAGTGGAGGATGAGCTCTGTAATTCTTGTTTTTTAAAGTAGTGTCTAATATGGAAGAAACCTCAGGTTTATTTTCATAATGCAAGGGACACAAAAACCCTTATTTAAATGACCATTTTCTGGGATGGGAAAGTGAATCTAGTCTGATAAAATTGTACAGTTTTCCCTGCGATGTCTGAGAGAGTCCTTTCAGTAGCACTCATTACACTAATAAGAGATGCTCTTTTATTATAACAATTATGATGCTGGCTTTAAATTGATGAGAATGCAGCCAAAGCATGTGCAGTTTATACTCTGATAGGAAGCTGGCCTGGATACTTCGTTTTTGTCTGAAACCTACAGCTCTGCAAAGAAGCCTTTATTCCTGTTTCAGTGTATGCCTAGCTAAGTCTTATTTTGTTTTCTCTTCCTCTTATATCTTCACGAGAACCGCTTCAGTTCTTTAAGTTCACGGCAGGGGTACAGATGCAGCAAATTCAGAAAATCCAAGTGGTAAGAAGAGGAAGATCAATAAACATTGGCCCCAGAGGCACCGGGTGGCCCAGCAGCCTGCGGGCGCTGCCTGCGTGACCTGGGTGAACGCGAGGACCCAACGGCCAGGGCTGTGTTGCCCCCATCGCCCCAGTTGGGGCAGACCCGATAGCTATGTCAGATAAAGGCCCCTGATGGGAAGGTGCAATCGTAATGATTAACATACTGATGTTGTGTATAGGCCATTGCATCAAGGCGGTAAAACAGATGTTGTCATGCGGCAAAATAGCGAGAAGGGGCGGAAATAGTAAAAATCTTAGGAGAAAATGAGCAGCTCTCTTCACTGGGTATTTATGTATTCCTCATATAGGTCAGTATTGCTTTGGTGCTCGTGACAAGGTGCTTACAGGATGTTTTCGATAGGCATCCTGATGCATCTGAGAGGCGAGGGGCTGCCCAGGTGGGGCGAGCAGGCGGCCGCCGGGGCGGGCATCGATCCTGCACTGTCCTGTGAGCTCCGGCCGGCTCCTCCTGGTGCTGCCCTGTCCTCTGGCTCCTGCTACTCCCCGGCTGCACCCCCATCTCCCCTCCCCACCAATTTCTAATAGTGCTTGTGGGCCCACAAAGCTTAAACGCTTTTGAGGGGAGCAAGGAGGGGGTGTCAGCACACGAAGGGGCGCTGGGGCTGGGAGGGATGGCGCTCATGCCCTGCTGTTCCCTGGTCTCCCGCGGCTTCCCCACAAGAACAGGAGCTGGGCTGGGCGCCAACTTGTGCCTAATTACTTATGATGACTTTCAACTTCTCAGTCTTGTATTTTAACACCATGAAAGCTCTAACATAAATACCTCTCAAGTCTAAGCAGACCTTGGACGCCTCAGCTGTGAGCTAGAGGAAAACCATATTTTCAACTGACTTTGCTTAAATATATATATATTTTATATATAGTAATCAGTGTGATCAAGTGTTTTAATATGGATTAGTGGCATCCACCATCCACAAAAAGTTCAACCTAATACAGAAGAAAATAGTATTGACAAAGCAAAAGTCCAAAGAAAGCTTTTTCTGTGGAAAAATATAGCGATGTCTGCACGTCTCAAGAGAAACACCTAAAGGGAACTGGGTTGCTCAGAAATTGATAAACTACGTTGTCATCTGCAATAGAACTGAAGTATGATTTCCAGGACTGTATTTCTACCAGATTTGTAGGATGCCTTGGCAGGGTGCTAGGAAAGCTGTTTTGCTGCAAGGCAGAAGGAGCAGTTTTGCAAGACCATTTGTGTCCCAGAGAGTAACTTTTTGGTGAGGCTTCCTTTTTTCTCTTCCACAGTTTAAACAAACAAACAAACAAAAATTCAAGAAATGGTCAACACAATCTGCCAGCAAAGGAATAATGAACAACATGTTTTACAAAGCAAATGCAAAAATGGGGTCTGTTTCCGCTTATCTAAAGCTGTGTGTGTCAGTGATTTTTATCTGAGTGTCTAATGTTGCAGGGAGTTCGTATAGTGATGAATATCTCTAAACTGTGGCTATAGGTTAGCACTTTCTTCCTTTCTTAAATGTGCAGCAACTTGTGCTACCAGTTGGGAGAATGCGTTTCTCTGATTTGTTTTGTAAAGACAGTAATCCCGTGAAAGAAGCTTTGTATTATACTTAACGTGTACACCTACAGTCTCTCTCCTAGCACAGCACTTCAAAACAACCCTGAAATACTGAGCTTTTTCTCTTATTTTATTTATAAAATTTAGAAAACCTTGAAAGGAAGTGCTATAAGGGATGGAATTTGCTATATTGCTTTTTCTCCTTTAATTTATTGTTCTTTTTGGTGTTACATAATGAGCAAAACACCTCACAGCTGGAAGCATAATTTCAGCTGCAAGATTGCTCCAACTTTTTTTTGGTGAACAGACAAGCGGTTTTAAAAATCAAAAGTGAAATATTGTTTGGGAATGGGGCCTGGTCCCGTGGCCTCTCTTTGCTGCTGATGGAAGTTCTGTGGAAAATCAGGACTGCGTTGCTCCCGCGGCACCTCGGAGGGGCCTCCTCGCCCTTTGCAGAGCGAGGTGAGAGGAAGTTTCAGGGAGGGAGAACCGGACACTTGGCCTGAGCAGGTCCAAGTCCAGCCTTGCGCACGGTGGAGCGATCATGTTGCTTCCTGGGGAATTGGACACAGGATGAGGGTTTCCTGGTGTCCCTCTCCCAGAGCTTCCTAGAAACTGCCCTGAGCTGGGGCAGAGCGGCCTGGAGCGATCCCTGTTACCTGCTCTGATTGTCACCATTCTGCACATGCAGTGTGTGGTGTAGGTGTTACTTTCAGAACCGTTCAGGTGTTGAGGGCTGTCCTTTGCTGTGACCGGAGATGCTCTGCCTGCAGCAGCCCAGGCTGTGGCCCTGTGCCCGCTGCCTGGAGCATCCAGGGCCTCGGCGTCAGCCCCTCCTTGGGGCAGGAATTTGGCGGGACCCCAGTGCTGCCCACCTGGGGGGCTGGGCCTGCCCCACACCGTGTCGTCAGGCCCCACGCAGCTGAAATGGCTCTGCAGCACGGAAGTCCCCGTGCGTGCCCAGTTGTTGAGCCCCCTCTGGATAAGCAGAATTTAGACTGCTAGTTCTTGTAGTATTTTTCTTGAATACCTGTATTTCTCCCCAGTGGAAAACTGGCTTTGCTGGGATTTGCTGTTCTTGCTGAAAGTAAGCGTTGCTGGGCTTGGAAAAGGCTTTGGCAGTGAGGTTATTTTGAGCATTTTAGGGAACATCTTATGTAGCAGATATAAGATGTTAGGCATTTTTTCCTCCCTCCTGCCTGCCCCTCAATGTTACAAGAACTTTCCCATGTAAATCTGAATGATTGGTGATCTCTCTTTAAGAGATCAGGTTTTCAATTTCTCAGGATTCAGAGCTTGTTTGAAAATGAGACTAGTGTTTTGGTGTCCAAGATTTTCAAAGGAAAAAAAAGTGATTTCTGGGTTCTTAAAAGACCTGAGCAAGAGGGAAGATTCAGGGTCAAAAGAGAAGCTGTGTGCAGTGGATGGTCCTGACTTTCTCGCATGACTTTGAGACTTGCCTAACAAGACTTCTGAGAATGCAAGCAGATGTTAGAATGTTTTATGGTTTTGTCTAGATGTGAATATTTGTTGTGGTAGAGAGTTCAAGAGAGTTTGGTTTGGTGGTTCTCATTCTTTATAAAGCTAATGTGTCCAGTAGTTTCCCTGGAAATTCTGTGACACCACAAGCGCAAAGCAGACTGGGGCTCTGGGAAGAGGCGTTTGGCGCGAGGGGCTGCATTGCTCCTGTGCGAAGGCACCTGCTGAAGCGCGAGGCTGCGTTTTGGTGACAGGAGAGGAAGCAGAGATTTGTGCCCTACAGGTGTGTAAAGGTAACAGATGGCACTAGGGCTTATTTAAGTAAGAGGAGTTTAAAATCCTGTGGACTGCGTATGAGGAACCCACTCTCACCTGCAGAGTAGGTGCATGCCTGGGAGGACATTGCCAAGGTGAATATAAAGCACGAGATCAGCCTTCCCCGGCAGCGCCGAGTTCGCCTCCCCCTCTCCATCTGCCTGGAAGCCTCTCAGGAGGTTAAAGGACATGCTTTAAAACTATTTTTCAGTTCTGTTCCCAAGCCATTTTGCTGTAATTTTCTTTATAGTGCTTGCTATTGTGACTGTGTTAGGGAGCCTGTCAACCGCTGCAGCACCCAGCTGTGCTGGCTCTCACCATAATTCAGAGAAACTGCCAAGTGCTGTTCTGCTTAATATGACAGATCCTTTCGTGATAGCTGTGCTGCAGCCAGCCCTGGTGAGTGCCTTGGGAAGGATGGTGCCCATGTGGATATGATTTATGTTTGCTAGGGCTGTGGTGAGTGAACCTGCGAGGGCTGCCTTCCCCTTTTTAAAAACTGCAAAGATTTATCTTCCCCACACTTCCTGAGAGAAACTCTCTCCTCTATCTCTTTTTTTTTTTTTCTTCTCTATTCCCCCTGAAAACTTGCAGACTGTTTTCTCTAGCTGCCCTCAATGTATATATATATTTTTCTTATCTCTCTCCCCTAAGTTGTCATCTCCTCTTGCAATTCTTGTGGTGTTGCTCTTCCCACCGCTCTGCTGCATGTGCAGACAACTGTAAAATGGAGTTTACAAGAAGCATGATCTATGAGCGCTGTGCTGTGGCACTGCAGCGCCCGGGATTCTTGTGCATTCCTCCCTACAGCTGTCCGCATGCAGAGCTGCATGCAGGCGAGGGGCAGGGAGAGTAACTTCCCTGACGAGAGCTTGGAGAAACAAAAATACAGTTGGAAAAATCATATGAAGCATGAATGAAACATTACTCAGAGCCTGACTGCAATGTAAGAACTGGATGTGAAACATTCCTGGAAAAGCGGATACATTTGAAGGGGATAATAAATTGCACAACCATCTCTGGCTTTTCTGCGTGATGGTGGAGTGTGGTTCTCTTAGATGTGGGTTCAGCTTCTTGCATATATTGCAAGTAAAAATACTGCCTAGCTCAACAGAGAGACCAATAGTTAGGGGCAGGGACACTGTATAGTTGGATAGGACTGAGTATTTAAGGTAATAGCTTGGTCTTGAGAATACATTTAATAGTTGGGTAAGTGTTCAGATTAGGTCCAGCTCTCTCTCTTATATTCAAACATTTGTTTATAGGGCAAATTTTTTAGATGTCTGAGTGATCTAGGAACATAAACCTCACTGCCAGTACATGGGATTTTTGCTGTTGTGAGTATGAAATAAATTACTGCTCAGCATGACCACAGATGGTGGATCTGCTCCTTAAATAATAAATTCAGCAATCAATGAAAGCAGTCTGTCTTGCAGGTGCACAGCCTTAGAGGGCTATTTTTGAGAGATTTTTTTTTCCAGCTCCCACTGCTGCCGTCCTGCAGGGATTGGTTTCTAGCCTATTTTTTGTGTGTCTGTTTCTGCCATTTATTTATGTAAAATGTTTAGGTAGGTCAACACTAGTGCCCCTTTAACAAGTTTTAAGGGAGAAAAAAGAGTGCCTTGGCAAGAGGAGGTCAGAGGCTTCTGCACTGTTTTGCAGCCAGGAGTAGCCGTGGCTGGTAGCCCGGCAGCTGGGAGCAGCTGGAAGAAGAGGGGCTGCGGGGCAGGAGCCAGTGGGGACCCACTCCTGGGCAGAAGACATTGGGCAGAGGGTGCTGAAGAGCGAGGGAAACAAGAACGTGGGTTTGAAAGCCCTTCCTGAGTGTGCCTGGACTGACTAGCTGCTGGGGCAGGCTTGCAGGGACTAAAAGCTAGTCAGTGTCCAAATAAAACCATCTACTCGCGGAGGAGCTGGGTGGCTTGTTTCTTTTTTTCTTTTACTGCTTTTCTTTTACTCTGTGGCCTGGAATCCAACAAAAATCCAACAATATGCTGTTGGCTGTTATGGAATGGGAATCCAGTTTATGGGTCTGAAACTGGCCCTGTTGGTAGGGTGGCCAGAGGCTAAGGGAGGGCTGCAAAGCCTATGGATGGGAGGCAGCAAGTCCCTTCGGAGGTAAGGACTGGGGATGGGTACATTTAATGCAGTTTTGTGAGACAGTTCTCATCCTTGGTTTAAAAAACTGGGACCCGAATGGGTTGCACACTAAATTAATGTATATTAACTAAAAATTAGTCAGGGAGAAAGAGGGGCAGAGCTAATTCGCTGTGGTTGCAGCTGGTGACACGGGCCTGTATAACGTGGATAGATCCTCCTGCTTGAGACACATAGGGTGGTTGCAGGGGAGCGAGTGGGATGAGGGCACCTGGTTTCTCCCTTCCCTGCTTGGGTTCGGCTGCCCCGTGAGCGGCCGGGTGGGCCGAGGCGGCCATGGCGGCTCGCCGGGCCCTCCTCCCCGCCGAGCTCCC